CCATTATCGCCGCCGATGACGTCACGTGCAACAGCTGACCGGCGGGCGTCGGGCGCTGTGTGCGGCGCTGAATGGCGGCGAGCGGGGCCGGACAGAGACGCACACAAAGGCGCCAGTTCGACCACCGCTAATGGCCGCCCGTTTGACACCGTCTGCGGAGCGCGACATGGTGCGACACGGTCCGGGCCGCGGCTGGTCCGAATAGCTCAGCTGCTGGACACGACAGGACTCAGCCCAGCTGCTGGACACGACAGGACTCAGCGGGCCAGCCCAGCTGCTGGACACGACAGGACCCAGCGGGCCAGCCCAGCTGCTGGACATGACAGGACTCAGCGGACCCAGCCCAGCTGCTGGACACGACAGGACCCAGCGGACCCGCCCAGCTGCTGGACACGACAGGACTCAGCGGACCCAGCCCAGCTGCTGGACACCATAGGACCCAGCGGACCCGCCCAGCTGCTGGACACGACAGGACCCAGCGGACCCGCCCAGCTGCTGGACAAGACAGGATCCAGCGGACCAGCCCGGCTGCACTGGGACACATGACCCAGCTGCATTGCTAAACAGCCGGTCATGCTAGAATACCAAGGAGATGGAATGTTCAGCAGCTGAGCAGCTATACGGCTTGGAAGCCAAGCAGCTGACGGCAGTTTGAACTCGGTGGGTGACCTCTGGCATGGACTGCACGTCGAGGGCGTCAGTTTCCGCGAACCGCTAATGACTGTCATGTACTGCAGCTCGCTCCCCCTATATCCATTATCCAAAGTCCTCATACCCTGGGCTAAATAGTGCCGTGTTGAAGGGACATGCAGTAGGTATGTGTGGCCTGCACGCATGCATCCACGGCGCACAATGCACAGCTGCCATTCAGCGTTTCTGGGTGGGTTACTTTGGTTCTCCTGGAATACAATAACTCCGGACTCTCAAAGCGAAGACTGAAAACCCTTTTTTAGTTCCGGCTGGATGAAAAGGATGCAGAAAGTGGTCGGCAGATAGGACGAACCATATCATAAACAGATACAATGCAGTCTCAGACGGCAGATAGTAGACAAAATGTCAGGTGGGCAGATAGCCGCAGACAGTGACCTTAGACAGTCCCAGGTGGGCAGACGGTCCCAGACAGAGCTGTCCCGCTGAGGAGACAGTCGCAGACAGCGGCCGCCAGGTAGGAGCGCGCGGAGTGGCCTGAGGTCGATGACGACGGTGCCGAAGGAGGATCGATGCTGGATCGACCTCTCCGACCGAGAATCGGCCTCCGAAGGCCGCGCCGGCCCGCTGAATAGACGGACAATGACCGCAGATAGCGTCAGGACCTGATGGGCCGACATCAATAACTGCTGACAATATCAATACCTCTAGTCGCACTGTTGATGCTCGTTGCCGGCATCGATTGCTCGTTATACTATCGATAGCTGAAGTTATCGGCACCATATTTTGGTATGCTAAACCCATTGACGACTGCAGAGCGCATGCTTACCATATTTTACGTTGTATCACACCACTTGTATTCATCGAATCATGGCATGCTTATCGTAACATTTTGTCCCAACTTCACTCAAGTAAGGGTAATTTGAAATGACTGCTTGCCAACATAAACTGTCTGCAGGTGTGGAAACATAACATTGAAAAGAAATGTTCGTTAGGCTATCGGCTATCGGCGCATCGTAAAAATCAACCAGCCAGAGTAGGCCAGGCAGGGGTCCAAAAACCTTCCACCCTTCCAACACCGGTTGGAGACAGAATTGGTGTCGAGGACTGATGAGAAAGAGACACTTCCAGGCTTTCGACTATGCATGAACATTTCCCGGGTTTCTCAAATCTGCTAGTTTTTTTAGTATTCATTGCATTTCTTTATCATTTCATCATTGGCAATGAGAAATCGTGAGAAACTATCGAGAAACACTGGCTCTCAGCTGTCCCCGGAGACAGCCAGAGGTGGAAGCGACCGACCCAGAGGTGGAAGGGCTAATCAATCAATAAGGGCTGATTCCCTAACGATCGAATAGGAGTATGACCCTTCCTGGCACTGTCCGTCGATGCATATTTTTTGACGCTCCCGGAGACACAGATATAATTTACGTCATCTATTGAATGAAGGATCTTTGCATTTCATTCAGTATGCTGATGAAATTACATAAATTTTATTCAAATAGCTTTTTTTCAATAAGAAATTAATGAAAAACAAGAGTTAAAAGGAAAATCAAAAGAAAACTGAGCATATGGTCCCATAATGACGTCATATTTTGCACCAAGTCAGAACCAACTGAACGCCGCAAACTCAAACTGGCGCAGTTCTGGCGTATGTTGCTTACGTGCGGTGTGGTTAAATCATTATAGAGTTCAGTGGGTTAAATATTTTGATTTGGCCTTTTCTTTATTTCTACAAGTAGTTCCCATGTTCTGAGATGCCCTATCTATACAGAAGATAGGGCCTTGTACAGAAGTAAGGTGAAGTGCGGTGTTTGCGGCGTCGAAGTTGTATATAAGAACCCAAGGCTCTATAGAACCTACAGGGCCACATGGAAAGCAAGGTATCTGTGCTGATAACGGATTCTGGCTCTGGACCTAGAGGAAAAATGCAGTCTTGGACTGGGTAAAAAGGTACCTAAGCATTGTATTTCAGTTGAGACAAGTATAATAACATGGAACAAAAATGATAGACGAACGCGTTTCGGCTAAATCACCGTCATCAGCGTCTCTTGTTCTCCTTTTAGACGCTGATGACGGTGATTTAGCCGAAATGCGTTCGTCTATCATTTTTGTTCCGTGTTATTGTACCTAAGCATGTGTATTACATGTGCCTGTGAACAAATTAAAATTTCGATTAATACTTTATAGGCATCTTTTGTTCTGTGAATCAAATTGTGGTATGAAACTTATAAAGCGCAAACAATTTTTCATCAATCCGTTCAATGCATATGACGAAACTCTTAACAGCTAACTGCAAGTTTACCTCTGCTGATTGCCACATGTTTGGTTTTAGGAGAGCACTGTGATGTTACCTACCTGTTTGCAGTATTGTTTTATTTTGTTCCGTAAGGCTGAGAGGGTTGGTAGTTTGTTTTTAAATGTCTCCTAATGCTAGGTATACTGTGGCACCAAATTATATGCATTGGTCAGCCTGTTAACTTCAAGTTTTATTTCAAATAAACTTTTGTAGCCTGTAGGTGGGTACCAATAGGTGACTCAGTTCCGAGTCCAAAGTAAGCGTTTCATGCCAATTTGTGCCAATAAACAGTATGATGATGATGATGATGATGATCATGTAATCTATGATATAAATAACACCTTACCTATCCCAAATTTTAACTGTCATTTCTTATGCAAAATGCAACTTCTTCTCCTCAAAAGCCAGCAGATTGATTTTCAGAAGCTGTTTTTGAGTGCTTACTGCTTTCTAGTCATTGACACATAGCTGATCTCCAAATTATCCAACAGTTACAACTAAGCTGATTTTTTTCACATCACTTTTCATTGGATCAGCCAAAACAGGGCACCTGACCCCTTTTCTGGTTCACAGACAGGCCCCCATGGACCCTTTGTCTTGAACCTGTAGCCTCTTGAAAGGCTGTACACATTTTGCCACCTCATTGGAATGTTCTGAATATGCCACTTGCATCTAAATTGAGCAATCAAAAGGGTTCATTGTGCAAGCATCTCTGTTCCCATATGTAGGCATAGTTTTATAAGAAATCAAACATTTGAAATGTGGCTGCTCCTCAGAAGTGAATGGCATGGACTATGTTCAGGTAAATTTGTACTGAAACATCACTGATATGTGGCAAAAACAATATTATTCTGTATTGAGATTTAAGAATACAATCAAGCATTTCCTAGTCATCAAGAATAATAGATCATAAAGCATGTTGTCAATTTTTTTTAAGAATCCAACTGGAAAGTTACTAGGGACATGATGAATGCTGTCCCATGGCCTGACCAGAATGTCTATTTGTCTATGCCTTTGCCCATTACTCTGCTGCTTAGTGCCTAGTCTGATCCACAGCATTTACAGGTTTTAGAAGTTTAGATTATTCTGAAATCTATTCTATAAGACCAGAGTTGTTTGTTTATTAAACTCGCACCCCACTAGGGGGAGGCTATTTATAACCCATCCTCTCGCTTTTCTTGCAAGCAATCGCAATCGCTTTTCCTATCCTATGTGTCAATATATGTCACAGGTATATTGTCACATGTAGGTATGTCAGGTATATTGATACATTTTTGTACGGAGACACTAGACCTGTACGTTTCTAGGAGGGAGACAGTCGGCAAACTTTTTGGACCCCTGAGGCCAGGTCCTTTCTGATAACGCGAATGGGAAGAGAGAGAGAGAGATCGCTGTGAGGCCCGGGCGATTAGCTCCTATACAAAATAGAAACACAGCCAGGGCAGGATGGGCCCCCCACAGCGGGGGCGTAGGTACTAAGTAGGTACACGGGCCCCTGAAACTCCCTCGCCCTCAGCCACCCCCCCCCCCCCCCCCCCCTGTGTCTTATGCTGCATCCGCTTAGTCCTAAAGTAATTTGGCCCACCAATAATTAGCAAGCATCTAACCGTCGCCGAGCTGTAGATGTCGTGCGGTGCAGCATGTATTCAGGCGCTAACTACTGCTGCCACCTGTGGACCAGATCATAAACTCTCACCTGATAGATGGCACTAAAATCGAACGCCTGCAGTTATGCAGTACCGCACTACACGTCTGGTTCGTCTACTCTTATGTGTCGCGCCAATGCAGCAGGGACGTCTAATCAACTGAATTTTCTATCGAGTCAGCTTCAGGACTGAGGAGAGCCATCTGAATTGTGCGAAATGACAAAACTGAGGATCTTCTCTGCTCGGACACTAAATATCCACCGATACCCCCACTAAATATCGGGCCGGGACACTAAATTTGTGTTTCCAGACTGGGATGATGATCAAAAGTGACGAATCTCCCAGTCCCGAACCACTCTGCCCTTCCCCAACTTCCAAAACTCGTCTCTGCTATCTGTCTGTCATACCTGACACGTATCGGTAGGTGGTGATCCACTCGGTGATGAAGCCGATGACGTGCCGCTGGCTGGTCGTCATCGGCACCGACACCTCCGTCGAGTTACACTCCTCCTCCTGACCGGCGGCCGGGGCGGGGGCGGGGGCGGGGGCGGCCGCCGCCGGGCGCGACGGTCGGCTCGGGGCCGCCGCGTAGCTTATGTCTCCCTGGATACCATCGTAGATAGAGGCGATCACTGTGGAGCGGCACCAGTTACAGCCGATGGCGAGCTGCGGAAGGACTGGGCAGGACTCCTGGAAGGAAAGAGTGGTGAGGAGCGAAATAAGAGGATCTGCAGAGGAGCGGTATAGATAAGCCAGAGGGGAAAAATCAGGAACGTCCTAATTCGAGCAAGAAAGGATATTTTGTTTAAATTCGAATTTTAATCTATTGAGGAAGGAGCATTGCCAGGTTAAGGAAAGCAGGACCAAGACTTACCAGAGAACTCCGATTAATTGTGGCCTTAAAAAATAAGATATATGTACCAAGGTCGATAATTTCAATGGGACGCAAGAAGGACCTTTGCAGAATGGGGCCAATCTAAAAAAGTAAGTGAAAAGCTGGTCCCATTGCTAATAAAAAGATTTTTCCATAAATTAGTTTCTGCCAATGCGGTAAGAATAAAGAATATTTTCAAAGTAAAAATAATAATAGTTTACTATAACATTGAAAGTAACTAAGGACTAATGTGAAGCAAAAAAAAACATTTTACGAAGGATGTTAATATCCAATGGGTCCAGATCTTCTTACATATGTGTCCACTCTAATTATATAAGTGTTATAAATAGTATCCTGTAAACTACTTAACATCCTATATGAAAAGACGACGATGATGATTTGCCAGAGGAAAATGTAATCCCTGACGTGGGCATTTTTGTCTCTTCTTTGTGATAAAACTAACGGCTATAGCCTACTCGAAAACTAAAAAATGAAGCATGAACTTATTGTCTTAACAAATAACTTTTTCAATGAGACGAGATTGGCCCACAGCAGTTCCCTGTAGCACTTTTTACTCGGTCTAATTCTTGCTTCTCTTACCTAGAGCCCTCAACAAATATTTTGATGATCCGTTATTAAAACGCATGATTCGCTGCAGTACTTTTCTTTTTGAAAGCAATAATAAGTAGTTTGCAGTGCAGCATTCGAACCAGAAGCCGAATGCAACATAAAGCATGCAGCTCAAAATACATTGAAAAGGAACAAAGTCTATGAACTACGATACAGTAAAGCCATCGGTCGTGCGCAAAAAAAGATCAGTTTCTGAGGCTTTTAGGCTTATGGATTGGAGCAAAGTATTGGATGTAGGGAAACTATTGAGGTAATATAACAAGCAACGCATTATAAAGTTATTACACAAAAGTTTCTGAAAGCATCGTAAGATCAATATTGATCGGTAGATATCTCTCAATTTCGCAGCTAATCTATTAGGAAAATAGCAAAAGTTATCGCACAATTTGACATTGCAGCACGTTTGTGTTGTAACGCTGCTTTATATGATCTATATTGATGTATTTTTATTTCTTGATAAATTTCGAAGATGAATTAAGAATAACAGGAATGAAGCAGTCTTGAAGCCCCTAGAGTCGTTCATTTGAATAAATCTTCTTATAAAACATAATAATAAGAGCATGCCATGAACAATAGGCAGCAGAATGTTATTATCTGAAGACGGGATAGACTGCAATCTAACGAGGTACTTAGGAAACGACAGGCCATGAGTCCATGCAAGGTGGCATGGGAAGACGTTGTTTGGCCGGATATGAATTGGAAGAAAAATCAATGACAGAAGGCATAGATCCCGGGTGGACATCTGGCTACGACAGGCGATGGAAGTCTGGTCTAGGCTCAGTCGACAGGCGATGGGACTTTGGTCTAGGCTCAGTCGAGTGAAATCGACCTATACAGAGAGATGCGGAAACCGGTAGGTTGGGTAGTGGTGAACCATTGGGAGACAAAAACCATTGTGACATGAAGGTATGTTACATGAGGAACATGAGTACATGAATGCGAAGAAATAAAATTAAAACAAGATAAAACACACATGGCTTTTAATTCTACTGTTACAGAGTATAGCACAAACATAAGAGTACAATAGATATGATGGCTAAAAAGTGACTGTCTACGAGTACATTGAACTATTATGACAGCATGAAGCGATGCATATGAGAAACACTTATTCAAGACAGGACGATACGGTTACAGCAGGCATTATAAGTTATTAGTCGCAGCGGGAAATGTGTATTACACTCATTCACAACACACACACACCTTTATTCACCAGAAAATGAAATGCTGCTGGGGCTGGGCATGCATTAACAGCGACACTATCCAGCGAATGTGTGGGGCTACTAACTATTATTCTTATTGTTATTGGCTATGTTAGTGAAAGTGGTATTACATATTTCTATACTATAAAACAGTGAAAATGCAAAACCCTCTATTTAACAAAAATGGGATAAGTCTTTTTCACCGGAATTGAGCGTTGCTAAGGTCATAATTTCCACCTCTAAGAAGTCCTATAAGCATACCTATACCAGTCATTGTTCTGAATGTTGCATCGCCTAATAACTAAGTAATGAAAAAACGCTGGTCAGCAGTTTAAACTCGAAAACGTGCAGTCTATAAACTGTACTTCATTTTGTTGGAGCGGTTTTTACAGGCCCTCGGAGCGGCTCATACTGCAGACAGACACAGGGTCGATCGGCGCTCAATTATTTATTCCGAAGCGAGGAGGGACCCCAGTCACGCAGGAGATTCGCTTCATCATGAGATGATCGATACAGTGCAAGAATGAAGCCACTGACCAGGCGTACTTATTCACCATAAAAATCACAAAATCCAGAAAAAACAGCACAGTTTTGACACATACGCTTCCAAACCGAAAACTAATATTTCCTAAACATCGAGTGGCCACGCAGCAATTTTTTTCATGAGTGCGGTGACTATCCAATCAACCACTCGCTGCAGAGAGGCCCAGAAGCCAGAAGGTCATGCATGCACCAGCCACCAATAGTGGCTGGTGCTGTGTCAACCAATCGACCCGACATGCGCCGGTGGCGAGGCTCAGGCCAGAAGTTGACCGTACATACAGGGCCAGTCAATGTCGTTACATGCCACTATAGGCTGCTGAGTAAACGGCACACGGCCGCCAGCTCTGTCTGTCAACTGTACGGGTTTGCCGCCGCTCCATTGGCATACCATGATGCAGTGTCCGGTCAGGTCTGTCAGGGCTCTATTCCGTGTTAGCTCCCAAATTAGACAGTCAGGTGTCTTGAGTTCGTGCATAGCTCCGTTAGTCTCGAAGAGCTCCGTCATTATTCTGTCATATCTCAGTCAATAGCCCGGTATTGGTGTGTTATTGCGCCGTCAGTAGCCCCATATAGGGTTCTTTGATATCTCCGTAAGTAACTGTACGTTTGAGCTTCGTTTAGGTTTTGTTCGTAGCTCGACAGATCTCCGTCAAACGCCCGCCATAGCTCCGTCACCTCCGTCAGCCCATCCCCGTTCGATCGCAGTTCTCCTGATGACCCACAAAGATATTATCTTTCTATGCCACAAGGACGCCCCATGGCCCTTTCGATTCGCTTTGGCATGGGCACTGGCTAGTCTCTACCCCTCCAAGCTAGCTTGACTACCGTCTGAACCGCCATCTGTTCAAACTGCTGGCGGCGGTGTCACCAGTAGCGACCAACTCGTCGCCCCTGACACGCACTCTGGCTCAGGGCCGAGCGCTGTTCAAATGAACGGCATAGCGGCACGAGCCTATAACGACATCCGAGCACGCCACGACACGACGACCAGGTTTGGCGACAGTTTTGTGCCTGGCGAGGGCTGGTTATACCAGGAGGTTGAATGGAGTTCAAAACTGCGTCTCACGCAGGAAGGCCTAATTACGCTCAGCAAACCCAAACCAAGAGTGAACAGCATGGGACTGATGTCTCTCAGCCAGCCGGGAATTCGCAGCACACAGGCGCAGAAAGCTCACGACGAGTACCAGATCTCTGCCGAGTGTCGTCACAAAGACCGGATGGTGGCAACCGTTCACGACCCCGCCTCTGAAAGGCGCGGCAGACGGACCTCTAGCCGGAGCCTGTCAGATGCTGTGACGTTCGTATTCCGATACAGACGAATTTTCAATGGAACCCCATGCGATCAGTCAGCTTCGATTATGTCCAACGCTACGAACAATGACAGTGCGCTCTTTATTTTGCGAGATAGTTGAATGGCGTATGATATTTACTTCTATTCAGGTGCAAGGAAATAGGGTGTGAGGCAGAAATTAGCTTGGAATTAGCAATTATAGTTCTCGAGTATATGTTTTATTTTTGAAAGGATTTATCCCATCCAAAAAAGGAGAAACTGCGTCTTGCGTGTTTTAACCCTCGCCGGCACAGGCCATTTTGAGTCCTTCGACGGCACAAGGGGGGGGGGGTTGGTACGACCCCCCCTCGCGTTTGGCCCCTGATCGAGCTAGAGCTTCGCGGAAAAAAACGAGCGTGTTGCCCGTCACGAGAGGAAGCCAATGATACCCAATGTTAAGGTCCTAGGTCATCGGGTGACCTTCCAGGTCAGGTCAATGACCCGAAAACCGGGAAAATCGGGACCTGTTAGAAAGTCGTAAAGTGTGGCTGCTATGTGGTTTTCCGGGGTGCTGATCACGAATATCGTGTTAGTTTTGATCAGAAATGATGTCTTTAAGCATTTAGACCAGGTCGGGTCAGGTCAGGTCAGGTCAACCGGTAGGGGTTGTGACGGGTATTCGTAATACGTGTCAACCGCCTCGGACAGCTTCGTAACATGTTACGAATGCACCAAAACTACTTCGTCAATGTTCAAATGGCTGCTAAATTCGGATTCAGCTCCAAAAACTAGCCTAGAAACATGTAAAACTCGAAAAAGTGAACCGAGGTCACCCGAGGTCACCAAAGGTCAATGACCTGACCTGACCTTCAGGTGACCTTGACACCCACCCTAATGCATGGGAGCAACATCAAATCACATGTTTGAACATTTGAAACCACGAAAAGCTTGCAAACGCGCGGCTAATGCGAGCCGACATGCGCCGAACCGCGATTTCGGCCAAACATGGTCACAGAAAAGAGGTCACAGGTCAAAGGTCATTGGGTTCAGGGTCACGAAATTTTCAGGGTGGGTGTAAAATTGATCAATGCGAGGGTACTGAAAGTTTCGTCGCGATCGGCCGCTTTTTACGCGAGTTATTCGCGAAAAAACCTTAGGGAGGGTTGCATCAACCCCCCCCCCCCCCTGTGCCGGCGAGGGTTAATATCAAATTAAAAATAATTCGCAAAATCGAGCGGTAGCCCTACTCTTGAAGACAATTGCCGTTGGAACATGACTTCGAGCAATAACGGTCACCGGCCGAGTCCATTTTCACGGTATAAGGCGTTCACGGAATCCCCTGGCCTGCACCTCACGTGCACGCACAGTGTCGCAGAGAGACCAATTATAATCGTCAGTATATAATTATATAATCGTCACCAATAAGCATGCAAAATACTACGCATTTCGCACCACGTATAAATTACGATATTGAACCACATACATCAATGTTGACATATCTCGCCCCTAGAAATAGCCGACAAGGTCACGGGAAACCAACCCGAACCGGAGCGTCATTAGTAGACCGAAATAGCTCGCACAGAAGCGACAGTCCAGGTGACGTCATCCGGAGTCCAATCAAGGGGCAGCCTGTAGCACTCAGTCCTGGCTCTCCTTACCGTGGACAGAGTCCCTATCAAATATACCGTAATTTGCAAACGATTGACTGCAGAGTCTTCGATTACTTCTCAGAATTTGGGTGCAGCTTTGCGTGCCGGCCGCCAGTTTACGCTGGCCACCGGTCGGTAGTCAGCCAGTTACACAAAACGGTTTTGTCACGCATCGATTCCTTGATTATAGATCGGTTAATTAAAGCAGGCTAAAAATTTAACGCAAGCTTCGAATTATACTGGGATGAGTAAAAAATGCTCTCAGAAAACAGTGTTGATAATAGGTTATTTGTGCGCAACAATGTTTTGTACCTAGCAACACAAAAGCAATGGCCACCAGTGATATAACTGTTACCTTTAACCCTCGCCGGACCTATTGGTTTTCTACATACGCCCCGGCCGAGGGGGGGGCGGGTACGACCCCCCCCTCGCCGTTTCGCCCCTGGTGGAGCTAGCGCGTCGCGGAAAAAACGAGCGTGTGCGCCGTTACGAGACGCAGAGATTGGTACCCGATTTTAAGGTCCTAGGTCAACCGGTGACCTCTGAGGTCAGGTCAAGTGCCCCAGGGTACGGTTCAGTTTTTGGTGAATAACTTCGCAAAAAACGGCCGCAGAGCGCCGATTTTGGCAGCATCGTGTTTGCCTCGCTCAGGCGCGTCGAATGATATACTTTTTGTCCGGGTCAGGTCAACTTGGGGTGTTGACCTCAGGTCAAGGTCAGGTCAGCACCCCCAGGTCACGAAGTTGGTCGAAAGAGGTCATGTCGCATATCATTCGATTCGGCAGGCCTTCCTGAGTCCATTGGTGCCTTTCCCGACTCGCTAGCTCAATTTGATCAAGAGTTATTGACGAAAAACTAATTTGACCTTGATGACGTCATAAATGACGTCACGCAAGGTCAACATTGCAAAAGTGACGCATCTAACCTTGCAAGGAGTGTATCAAATCACGATTCTGTGTGCTTGAGATAGTTGGAGATCGTTCCCGGCGCCAGAATAGCAGTTTTAATTTTTCCCCATTGACTTATAATGGTGAGGTCACGAAAATGACCTGACCTCATATGACCTTTAGGAAAAATCCGAGATATACAAGTTGTGGGACTCATAATGGATACTAGATCCTGCAAGTTTCATTTCCCTGTGACATCTCCTCTGGCAGTGAGGGCGTTGCGAAGTTGCGACATCTGAAGACCGTGCAGAGGTTCACTTATGACGTCATAGGTCAGTGACCTGACCTGACCCAAAAATGCGGTTGGTGTCAAAAGATCCGGCTTGGATCAAAGGTCAGGTATGCCAAGTTTCAGCTCTCTATCGCCAGCGTGTTCGGAGCTATCGCGAAAAAACCCTATGGGGGGGGCGGCACCCGCCCCCCCCCCCCTCGGCCGGCGAGGGTTAATGTTTAACGAGCGTCGTTTTGGTTGCACTGCAGTTTGCACTTTGCGCTGTTGCTACACTTAATTACCATAATGGTAGTAATATATTATAGTACAAATTCATCATAACGGAATGGTAATGTGTCAACGACACTCTTTTTCACTCTTCCTCATTTCAGAGCATGCTTAGTAAGACACTGTTTTCTAATGCGATATTGCATAAATATAAATGACAAAGTGGCTTATGTCACGCGCCAAACAGCGTCCCCCATTGTTTCCCCCATAACCACCCTGAAAGCCTAGATGAGGCCTGTTACCCCAGAGCACCACCGACAGAAGAGTGCTGTGGTGGTTGACTGATAACGTCAGCATCAAAAGTTTTGATAACCCGCTGAGAACCACGCTGATTGCTGTTGTGAATCACAGCAGCAATCAGCAGCCTTTTAATGATTTAATCAGCAGCCTGTGATCTTCTTTCGCCTGGCTCATGTATGTATCTAATGATAACGCAACATTAATACAACATTGTATAGTATGACAAGAAAATTCGTTGCAACTCCATACTAATGCCGATGCCAAGACGTTATGCATTTTTACTTATAACTTATAAGGACGCTAAAGAAATAGTCCACTTCTAAGATAAGTTAGGTATGTGTAGAACAGTCGCTCGTGGTGTTAGATTAGAATGTTAGCGGATGTGAACCGAGGCGCGTTAAGTTTTATTTTGATTTTAAATCTGCTGCACATTAGCTTTATATCAACTGACAACGTTTTATTTACAGACAGGTGATACGGGCCATGATGAAGGTCATCGTGTACAGCATGCAAGTCGAGCCAATCCCCGGTCAAATGGGTTTAGTGTCCCGGTCGAACCAGTACCTAACCAGTAGCGAGCTCTAGCTAGCGTTAGTACTCACTTTTTCCACTAGGTGACGGGCTCGAGGCATCCTGGTCCGGAGGCAGAACTTTTCGCTTTACAGAGGGCGCTTCTGTCGCGTTTCGTCTGCGAGCCATTTCTTCCTGATCGTACTTCTCACGGAGGATTGTCTTTGGAACTGAAAACAGATATAATTTAAGTATGTTCACGCACAACGCATACAGATTAGTCTTCTTAGGCAATATGAGAGCATCAGGCAAATTGTAAGTCATGCGTTGTCTAGCGGGAAGCACAAAATTGGAAGACATCACAAGTGACAAGGTCGATCCTTTCAGAAATATTTAGTGACCTTTTCAGTCTTTTCCATCCTCAGGAGGATCAACCCCTTCTCCACCACACCTATGATACCCTGATCCAGACTGGACCGTCACCTATGTCCGACATGAGTAGCTCCTCAGGAGCAGGCTCACGTGCGGTGTGGGTGACCGTTTGTGGGGCTGGTTAACCTGCATTGTGACGGGCTCCGCCCCGGCGGCGCGCCAGGGTGACCGCCCGGACCAATGTCTCCCCTGATTCCCATCATCCTTCCGCTCTGAAAAAGGCCTGGTCAGGCCGAACGGGCCTAAAACTACAAAACAAAACAAAAACTCACTTAGTTGGAATGAAATAACACTGAAGGTGCATTTAAATGGATATCCTCATCTTACTTCCGTGATTCCCTATTCACAAGCTCCAATTTTTCACCTATTCCGAAGAAGCAAATAGGGAAAAGTAAAATATGTAGAACAAATGTTCCGAAGCAACGACGGTGCCTACAGGTTATGTGAAGAACGAAAAGAAAATGGCGTCTATTAAGTGTGAACTTCATCATTTCATGAATCCATCGATTTACGTTCTTTTTTCAGCTGGTGGCGTAAATTGTTCAGAAAATGAGCATTGCTTCAATGTGATAATTAATTCAATTTTGATGGCTGTTTTGGGCCTGCCTGACGGTAAAAATATGTCATCAGTGTAACAATGAGACAATTTGTATCCTAATTAAACATCAGACTCTAGATATCTATATAACAGTGACACTAAAACGCCTTTCGACATCTTACTGCAAATGTTGACGAAAATAGCTCACAAAAGCCAAACAGAGATACGAGGACCCGAAACCGCGATCGATGGTAGTAAGTTCGTCAGCGGTGACGATAAACAATGCTACTGGAGCCCAACTCTGTCCGAGAGTATATCTATACCAGTGGTAAATCTGCTCGCGTACAAAGGCTCGCCAGAGACTGCAGCAACGCCAACATTGAATGAACGAGCAATAAAGTTTCGCCGCCTTGTGAACATAGGGCAAATAAGTTGGTATATAAGTGAGTGAAACAAATCACAGAAAGCGCTTCATAAACACCCAGCTCACTCAATTATCATGTAATTCACATTGTCATCCGATACTGCCAAGAGTGGCAACTGGGAACTGGCAATACCTCCTCTGCTGAGAAGCACCCACCGCATGTATAGGTGACCTTGAGGTAGGCGTTGTGGTCGGCGGGGCAGGGACGGTTGAAGAAGTTTGCGTCAGCGTTGAGCTCACAGCTGGAGTGACCCTGGCACATGTTGATCATCTTCTCCGAGGTAAAGCTTGCCTGACAATCTGCGAGAAGACCAACAGGAAACGGGGTTAGCGGTCATCGGTGAATGAGACAAAAATAGAACGAATGACGCAGTTGGCGAATTATGATACCTATATTAAACAATACCGTATGGTTTATGTATGTGGATGTTGTTGAGCGTAAATTACGTACGAATCTTTCTTACCGTCCATTGTATGCGTTTCATCTTACGAGCATGTACAGCGTGCAGCGCATGTGCCATTTGGCATGACAACATCAGGATGTAACAGAGCACTTCCAATTGTTACATGTGAGCACTGGACTGGGCAGCAGTAACAAAAGTTGCAGCTTGCAACTTTGTGTCATTAACCCTCGCCCGCACATGGGGGGGGGTGGTTGCCACCCCCCCCCCCCCCAGGTAGTCTTTCTGCTCTGCACTCAACATTTTTTGAGCTAGAAGGCTGATTTTTCGTATAGCTGCTCCTCTATCCTTTCTTGATGTCTACTGAAAATTTCAAGTTTCTGTGATTTTTGGTTTCGGAGATATGACCTTGTTTTTCAGGTCATGTCATGACCCAAATGGCCAATTCTCAACATCTTGCGTTTGCCATGGGCCTTATGAGCTTTTGACACCCTGATTTCGGCCTTTTTTGCCAGTCTTACCTCCTACCTATCATGGAACATGTTGTTCGACGATGTACAGGGGTCAAGGTCAGGGTCAAGGTCAACCTAGGTCACCTAAGATAATTGCGTTTTAGGCAAGCTGAATTTACTTTTTTTGAAGTTTTTTGACTGCATTTTTGGTAAAAGCTTCTCAGATCATGATTTCATGTAATATGGACCCAAAAACAATCGGTGCACACATCAGTATACACACAGACACACACAGACATACAAACACATATAATTGACCTTGACCTAACTTGACCTGAAATGACCTCAGCAGCAAAATTCTGGTCGGATAGTGTGACAAAGAGGTTCTAGCTGGCTTGGCACCAGAAAACAGCATCGTCATCGGTATTTGATAAGCAGCACACTTGATATCCAACGGTGACCCAAAACAGCAACATTTTTTAGTTTGACCTGACCTGGAAGGTCAATGACTGACCTGAGAAGGTAAAACTGGGTATCGTTGGATTCGTCTCTTCCCAAAGAATCTTTTTGGTCTTTACTGCTAAGCTCTATCTCCAACAGGAACGAAATGGCGCGGGGGGGTGGCAACCCCCCCCCCCCCATGTGCGTTCTAGGATGGGAAAATGGCATGTGCGGGCGAGGGTTAACCGGTCATTGGTGGAGCCCATGGTGGAGCCCACCAGTAAGCACTGACCAGTGCTCAGTGATCAGTGGCCAGCCCTGCAATATCTGAGGAGCGGAGGCGGACCCACCCGTGACGGTGACGCCGGGCGCCTGCGGACACTCCACGCTGCCGTGCTTAGTGACGCCGAAGCTGGCCGAGTAGATGGCGATCTTGGCGTCGTTGCAGTTGATCTGATGTCGCTGGCCCTGGCAGACCACCAGGTTCCGGAACACGTCTGTGCAGACAGATAGACACACGGATTATGGACGTGTCAGCCGTCTACAGGAATATGTAGTCTATACACTTATACAGGGCATTTTGGTCTTGAAACCAATTTATTTTCACATTGTTAACCCGCGCCCCAATGGCGGTCTCCGCCAACTTCGCCCTAGTGGGGGGGGGGGGCATATGTTACCACCCACCTCTAACTCAAAAACAAAGAGGGCTAGAAAGACGCGGTAAAAAGCAGTCGATTGCTCTCAATGCGTTCGTTTGAAAGTATTTCAGTCATTTTTCATCTTATAGCGATATCGGGGTCACCAGAGGTCATCAAAGGTCAAAATTTGCCAATGTTCATTATATTTTTCAGAAAACATGCCATTATCTCAGGAACTATGGTAGCTAGAAAAACGCATGGAAAAGCAATCGATAGCTCTTGAACTCTTCTTTTCAAAAGGTCATTATCAAAATTGACCTCAGGTCACGGGTTTAGCCTCCAGAGGGCAAAAACTCCAAAAATAGCTGTTTTTACGAAAAGTGTTTTTTGACAATAACTTTCGACAACAAAAAGCCACGACATTTTTATTGCCAGAATCGTGTTCCTCTCGCCGAGACGCGTCGACTGAACTATAATTTGACCTTGAAAGGTCAACTTGAAAATTTGACCTCAGGTCAAGGTCATGACCTGACCGGAAAAGGCCATGTTGCATATCAGTCGATGCGTCTCGGGAAGACAAACACAATGAGACCATCCTCAGCGTTCTATCTCTTTCCAATCGCGAGTTATTGGCAAAAATCTGTTTGTAGCCTCAAATGACCTCGGATGACCTTTCTAGAGGCCATCAGCAAAAATGACACCCTGGTCATCACGGGTGGTCCAAATCATTGTGATTCTGAAATATTTGGACTGTTCCTATGCGTACACACGGATCTAGAGGCATTTTCATTTTTCTCCATTGACTTGTAATGGAAAGGTCACGCCACTGACCTGACCTTAGGTCACGGATATAAAAAATCCGAGATATACAAATTGTAGGCGCCCATAACATCATGCAATCCACCAAGTTTAAAACCTTTCTGACAAACACTGCAGGCTGGGCATGATTGCAAACTTTTTTAGGCTTGGTCAGTTAACTTGACCTGGTGACCTGACCTGACATGACCTGGGGTCGAAAATTTCACACATTGTCCAAAATTGATGTACCAAAAGCTACCCCAAGCGGCGCGGCGCTACGCGCCGCGGTTTTTTATTTACACGCAAAAAACGCTACAGGGTGGTAACATATGCCCCCCCCCCCCCACCACTGGGGCGAAGGTTAATTATGAAATTGTTCAAGCAATTATTCGAGCGAGGAATTTAGGGCATTGCGCTACAATGAAATTACTAAGTTCAGCAGACAGCAAAAGTTGTTTGAAGTTTGCTATAGAAGGATCTATCTGTACATGCCTGCTCAGATCAAAGGGCACTTAATGAAACGTGCCAGCCTGTAAAGTAACGCATTCGTGCCTTGATACGACATTCAACCATTTTCATCAGACTTTGTGTATTCTGGTAAATGCTTCTGATGCATGTTTTAACGCATACGAGCAAACCCAAGAATGAGTCTGCACATTTATATTACATCGCCAAATAAGACAGCTCATGAATGTAAGAATCGCTAATTACTTTTCTATCAGTTTACAACCGCCAATTTACCCATTGACATCCAGTGCTGATAGAAAGGGCGCATTATGGTTCTTTTGTCGCCGCGCCCAAGACCCCCGACAAACACGCACTATTCTCGGCAAAACTCTGCGGCATATTATTTATCGCATCTGCAGCTCTCTATTTGGTATGGAACGTATGGAAAGGTAGTACTTTTCACCTCCGGCGACTGCACCAATATGCGATGCAGAAGACTACGTCCGGGTGAAGTTTAGCGATTCGGAACTCGTCAAGAGTCCCGGCCCTCGGGGCGCGCGATGGCGCTTTGGCAGCAATCAGTGCCGGAAATGGGTGTTCTCGCCCCGTCCCCGTGGACACCAAACGTCTCCTTTCCAATCACACTGAGGTGCGCTTTGGCGCCATTTATAGTCACCGTCAGATTTATCCAAGAGTATGTAGGTCCGGGACACTATAAAGTCAGGTCAAGTGGCACAGCTGTTACATCCTTTTTTATTTGTCAATTGCATGGTGTAAACTGTGAGCACGCTTTCAACCTTGTGCGTTGCCATATACAACGTTTTATTATTTTATCATAACCGATATATCAAATTTGACAAAAGAAAATATGAAAAGTGATGCATGAGAATCGCAAAAAAGTTACAAGTTTGATCTCTCCCAGTTGGCGACCCAGCTTGCGTAATTAGTTACAAAATATATTTAGGCCTCACTGATTCCAAAAAGTTATATGGTTATAAAGTGATCCTTAACCCGGCAGTTGCTGGGGTATTTCGCCACCCACCGTTTGCTGGGGGGGGGGGCGTTAAACGCCCCCAGCCGATAACTCGAGAACCAATAGGCGCAGCGAAACGCACGAGGCGGCAAACGAAAGAGCGCGACGAGACGCTTCAGATGAGTACTTTAAAGTTGAATTTTGAGGTCACAGGTCGGGTCAAGGTCAGGTCAAACACCTGAAATCGGGCTTTCAGTAGCATGGACTTCAGGACTTCGCAATGGGCGCCTCTCGCCATAAACTCTGTCAAAACGGTGCACAATCCATCTTATAAGGCCTACAAGAGTGTCAGCTCCATGTAGGGGTCAGTCAAGCGTAGGTCAGGGTCAAGGTCAGGTCAACCGGGTAGGCACATATCCCCGAAAATCAAAACTGATATTCGCAGCTTGTGACACATGTTTTATGGGTAATTTGGGGCGTAGAACACGATGGTGACATTCATTTTATCATATGTGTACGTGTTTGGCTCAAAAAGTTCAATTTAATAAATTCATGTATCATGGTCGTGAAGTAGTCACGAAAAATTGCCAAGATTCAGTTCAAGATTATGGAAAATGCGGAACGATAATCAATAATCGAAGATAGCCATTTGATTGATCATGGTATTGGCAGTCTAATGGCGTTTACGGCATGTCTGTATGTTTATTCTGTGATTTTATACGATTTTTTGAACATATGCCGTGTTTGGTCGAAAACTCAGAAATCATGACGTCACTAAAACCTCGATATCTAAAAAATTTTCCGACCGATTTTTTGAAACTTTGTCACAATAAACTTCAATCAATCCCCTACAGGTACCCAAAATTTGGCGCGCCTGCGGCGCGCCGTTTTTATGCTATGGCCCGGCGAAAAAAAGTGGGGGCGTTTAACGCCCCCCCCCCCCAGCAACTCGCGGGTTAAGTATCACTTTCTAACCAAGCAAGCACAAACTTTCAATCAATATGTCTTTACATAATCATGAGCAGCTGCTCACCGCCGGCATACGCGACGGCGAAACCAATATTGCGGAGCTATAGGCTCGACACATTCTCCTCCGTTTTTCCATTCCACCACCACAAAGACATTCCTTATGTTGATGTGAGTAACACTCAAGATCATTACTCACTTGGTCGACATTTGTAGAGCACCTCGACGAATTTGCGGACGCCCGGGCAGGGGTCGATGCCGAATGCTTTGGGCGAGGTGTGCAGACGACACTCCTGCTTCCCGCCGCACTCGTCAATCACCACCTGGTCGATATAGGTGTGTCAGATAAGGTGTGTCAGGTGGAAGTGTGTCAGGTTGCGTGTGTCAGATAGCATAGGCGGCGGAACGAGGGGGCACCGGGGCACCGTGCCCCCTTTGATTTTGACATTTTAATATTAGCCCTATGGGCGTTGCATGAAAAGAATGGGACCAAAAGTCGGCGGTGACCCCCCACCGGTGGTGACCCCCCCGTCGGTGGCGGTGACCCGCGCACCGACGGGGGTCTGCGCCAACTTCGCACCGACGGGGGGGGCGGATGACCGCCCCCCTGAGATCTCGAGAACGAAGCAAGATAGCGACAAGCGGTAAACGGCATCGGATACGCACGGCCAAGATCTACAATTTTTACTAAGGTCATTTTCAGGTCAGGTCAAAGATGACGTCACAGGGGTCGAAAAAGTCAAAATGGCGGCGCTAGATATGGAGAGTTTTTCTCGAATAACTTTCGAATTAGTCAAGATAGGAACAAACTAAGGGCATCATCGTGATCCTCTCGTCAATCCGCATCGAATGATATATGTTGACCTCGAAAGGTCAAGGTCAAAGGTTGACCTCAGGTCACGTGACCTCGAGGTCATCATGTATATCATTCGATGCGTCTTGACGAGCTGAACACAATGAGACCATCCACGCGTCTGTATCTTGTTCCTGTACGGAGTTATTGGCCAAAAACCTTTGGTGACCTTTGATGACGTCACATGACCTCACAGCTGCCCAACAACAAAACAGACCTCAAGGTAGTGAAGGTTGATCGTATATGAAGTCATGTATGGTATATGGGGCCATTCCGACCCGTTTTAGTGGTAAAAACAGGGAGTTGATTTTTCCCCCGTTGACTTATAATGGGGAGGTCGCGAAATTGACCTGACCTTAGGTCACCGATATCAAAATTCCGAGATATACAAATTGTAGCTACTAATGACCTAATAATATCCTGCGACTTTCAAAGGCCTCCGACATCTACTGTAGCTCTGGCACGGTGACGAAGTTGCAAAAAAGTGACTTGAGGTTGGGTCATTCAAAGTGACCTGGTGACCTGACCTTAAAAGGTAGGAGGTTCAAACTTAACACCATGTGTAAAATTGATGAGGTTATAGTCCTACCAAATTTCGCGGCGCTACGCGCCGCGGTTTTCCCGCTATTCGCGAAAAACCTCAGGGGGGGGGGGCGGATATCCGCCCCTCCCCCGTCGGTGCGAGGGTTGATGGTGTTTCGCCGCCACTGTCAGAAAAGGTGTGTCAGGTGGGAGTGTGTCATCAGGTTAGATGTGTCTGATATGTGTCTGATGGGTTGTGTCAGGCGAAACTAGTCAGGTGAAGATGTGTCATATGTGGATTTTTGCCAGGAAGCATGACAATGAGGTATTCGCGTACAGTTCAGGTGCAGATGTGCGTCAGGCTGCGTAACTCATATACCCGCACAATGTTCTGTATGTTCTGTATGTTCTGTATGTTGCGTGATGTTCGCAATGTCGGTATGTTCTGCGTAACTCAGCCATTATAAACTCACAAGAATGAAGGTAAGCTTAGGCTAATGCCTGCTCTGTTTAAAAAAAAATATCTAAAATATATCATATACAACCCCATTGTAACTTGTAAGCGAATTTGATCGATGATGAAAAACTAAACACAAAAGCAGCTGACTATTATACTAGATAGCATCAGACCGATAAGGAAGTCAACTCATGCTGAGCACAGCATTATCCGCATTAGATCGATCGAAATCATGTCACGATCCGACCCAGGTAATCACCTATCAATCACGCTGATCAAAATTGGAGCCGTTCGTTTCCAGTTGAACTGCTGTTTGCAGTAAATAAGGGAGAGTCTGGGGCAAAGGATCCGAGTACCAGGAAGCAGCCCTGATGGCAAACGGGTTCGAATAAATTATAAAAATAGTGATGTAGGACCGGGATACTTATAAACATCGTGGATCTTGCAAGCAGCATGGCTGGTGCAAACCTGCGGCTGATGTAGAGGGATGATGACACACAATCATAGGCGGCGGAACGATTTGAGACAAGGGGGGGCACCAGCTCAAGGAGCCAAACCTAGGGTACCCCCAAATCCTGTTTTCTCATCGGATTTAGGCCACTTAGTTTTCGTCACAGCCCTGGCACGATGATTTTTTTTTGATTTTTTTTTTAATAAACGAAAATGGCAGTTCACCCCCGTATGTGTGGTTAACTTTAAGCTGATCCCTAAGTACCTAAAAGTTTGTCTCTTCCTTATTGTCGTTTGATAAATTCCATTTATCCTACATGTATCAAATTCCCAAGAAGCCATCGCAGAACTAATCAGTGGCGAATCCCAGGGGGGAGGTCACATAGGTCATGACTTAGGGCCTGGGATCACCACATGCCTGCCAGAAGCACCACATGCCTGACAGCCGACAGGGGCACCACAGGCCCGCCACTCGCCAGGGGTACCACAGGCCTAGCAGGGGCACCACGGGCCTGTCAGTGGCACCACAGGCCTGTCAGGAGCACCATCGGCCTAGCAAAAGCACTACAGGTCTTCCAGGGGCACCACAGACCTGCCAGGGGCACCAGAGGCCTGCCAGGGGCACTATCGGCTTCGCAGGGGAACCACCGGCCTCGCAAGGGCACCATGGGCCTGTCAAGGGCACCACAAGCCTGTCGTTGGCACTTTAGGATTGTCAGGGGCACCACAAACCTGTCAAGGGTACCTGCGTTCTAACAGGGGCACCACAGACCTGCCAAGGCCCAGGGACACCACAGGTCTAGCAAGGACACCACAGGCCTGTCAGGGGCACCACGGGCCTGTCAGGGCCCATGGGAACCTAAGTCATGTCAGGGCCCACCGTAGGCTTGTCAGGGGGCAGGGTAGGTAGGTACCACAGTCTTTCCAGGGGCACCAGCGGCCTAGCAGGGGCACCAGTCATCACACGACTAACCAAAAATAAAGAAAATAAAAAAAAAACTGAAAATAGGGCACCACCAAAATTAAGTGGCCGAAATCCGTTGAGGTTTTAATTTTGGGTATAGGTAGGGGCACCACTTCGATTCATGACCCTCCCCTTGGAGTTTTCCCGAATCCGCCCCTGGTACTAATACATCAAATTTAAGGGGGGCACCTTGCTATTGGTGCCCCCCTTGCAGAATTCAAGGGGGGCACGGTGCCCCGGTGCCCCCCCCCGTTCCGCCGCCTATGAAATTGATTCCGTTGATGGGTGGTATCGAAAGTCGTTTTTGACAAGAATGTAATGGATTATGCACCGAATGCAGTTTCTTATCCATATTGGGACGGAGTGGTTCGTATCTGCCCACAACAGTTTTATTGTGGAGCCTTGGACGGGGCACCCACTCTACAGTCATCTCAATGAATCCTTTTTGACTGGTCAGAAATCAGGAATGTTCGGCCAAGCGAAATAGAATGAACGATCACAAGTTTTCTGGACAGACCATTTGTAACGTATGGGCCATTTGAGTTTGTAAATCAAACGCCAGCAAATAACGTGACAGGATTAAAGGGCCACTGGGGCCCACTTAACGCTAATTCATTTATCGTCCAAAGCCCGTCGCCTTACGGGTGTGTTTCGTTCAACGGTTTCGCCTGGCGCAGGTCGTTAAAACACCATTTGGCTTCATCTCAAACTGAATCCCAGATGAAATGGGGGCTTAATCAGGCCAGCCAATAAGAATTCCAAGTCTGTAGCTCTTGCAATAAAGCTAAACTGTATCGGCATTTAATGCGTGCTTAGATAACGCAATGTGTCTACCGAAAGACATTCCTGCATCCAAAATATTATACAACTATAAAGAAACTTCGTGCTAAATAAAAATTATAGAATGCATTGTATGATGACCAATTCCAAACCTTTGCACATTTTTGGAGAGCATTGTATACGGTCATGACCGTCACAATATTAGCTATTTGAAGTGCGTTGCAAGCCATCGCATAACAAAAATGGTAAAGGAGGTATAGGTTAACCCGGCCAGGCCCGGGGGGTAATCCCAACCACCGCAGCCCGGGGAGAGGCGTTTTTCGCCCCCCCCCCCCTGTCTAACTCCGTAAATAAGGGGGTTACGGAAACAAAAGCGATACCAAACGAAAGGTCCTTACAAGACGATTCTAAAGCACCTAAAAATTTTGACCTCAGGTCAATTTTCAAGGTCAGAGGTCAAGGTCAAAGGCAAAAACCGGCACATGTGTACTGATGTCAAGGTAAGCGTTCTAGAGGACGGCAAGATGCATCAAACCGGCAAAATTGAGTGTCAAACAAAAGCAGAGAATCTGAGGATTCTGAAACTGTGCTCCAAATTAAAGGTCAAGGTCAAGGTCACGCTTAAAATTGACCTCAAACTTTGCAATTTTTCGTACATCTCGCGTGCTAACTTCCAAGATGTTTTGAAATGTTTTGAGGCTTATCAGCTCCCTATTTGTGGTTCATCTTACGATACAAGGCTTCTCAAAGGTCAAGGTCACTGAAGAGTATCCTTGGTAGAGGCTATTTCACTGATTCAAGTTAGTGATAATAAATAAGAAAATTTTGCCATCCGGAAGCTCTAAATGAAGGCTTCGAGGAAAATAGATGCCAGATTCGTGATCAGCGGGTACAAATCCATCATAGGCGACCCTTCATGTGTCAAGGTCAACCAAAGGTCATTCGAGGTCACATGAGGTCAACATGAAACTTGACCTTTTCCAAACAAAATATATATCATTCGACGCGGCTTGACAAGACGAATGCGATGGTACCACTGCCGAAGCTCTAGGACCATTTTTGTCGAAGTTATTTGCGAAAAACTAAAATCACATTTCTGGGTCGTTGACCTGACCTTTGACCTCAGGTCACCAAAACTATTTTTCTATTTTTCTCTAGGTCAAACGCTACACAACCGTGCTCGTAATTTGTCTTTATCTCTAAAACTCTATTTTTAGCAGCTATTTGAAGTTTGCGTCTGTGATGCCGAAGTTTGCCGTGCAGGGGTTTAGAAAAATCGACCCTGTGACGTCATCAAGGGGGCTAGGTCCAAATTTTTTACTTCAGAAGATGTCAAATTGATTGGAGAAAAGGTACTTAAAGTTTCGCTTCCCTATCCCTAAGCGTTCGGGAGCAATCGCAAATATACGCCAGGGGGGGGGCGAAAAACGCCCCCCCCCCCGGGCCCGCGAGGGTTAAACAAATACGTTCTGAGAAGTAAGTTTGAACTGAATTCGACGGCTAACAGCGTGTTGAAGTAAGATCTTTGGAGAAAACATGATAACTTTTTTGTCGTGGAACCTGAGATAAGTGTTCAAGTCCTTCACTAGCCATTTTAGCCTATTTCTCTTTTTACTCGTATGTGCATTACACACTACTTTTCCATCGTCTTATTGACTTTTTTGTGCTCAACTTAAAGATATAAACACAATTCATGCTCGCTAAAACTAGCTCCAATACACCAGTTTTAGTTTGGGATCGTCACTGAGCGTTCAGGAGAACTTCCTTGAAGGATCGAAGCACCTCAGAATATCGTCGCCACCGTTCACTGACCTTGAGCGCGCTCCTGTCCATGCAGTCCGAGTTGTTGAAGCGCTGCATGTCGCTCGGGTGGCCGCAGAGGCCCGGCTTCGAGGCCAGCCTGCCGTAGTGGACCAGCTTGATGACGACGACTGTGTTGATGGGGCAGCTAAGCCGGAGCTGGTCACCGTCGCAGGACGCTACTTGAAACGTGCGCAGCGTGCCTGACAAGAGGGCTAGAATGAGAACAGACAGACGGGGAGCGGCGCGTCAGGGACCCGGCACCGAAGCGAAGCGTGCGAAGCGAGTGAAGCAAAGCAAGAAGCTTTTGTTAGTGTGAAATGCATCGAGTGTTCTACATGCAATTAACGTGCAGACAAAGATGCCGTAACTGTATCACGCGTTTAGTCACCGAACAGGAACTTTTTAAGCAAGGAAACAGAGGATTCCCTCGGAATTACCCACGGATGGCCGCAGCTCAGATGTGTCCCGGCCAGAATAGCGCCCACAGTCGGGAGGCGTGTCTGTCATGGGACCCACGGCCGCGGAGCGTGTCGTGTCCGATCCGAGACGGAGGGACCCGGGCGGCGGAGGAGATCGGCGCGGTGCCAGCGCTCCGCTCCGTCTGACAGACGCCGTGCGTCGACGGTCGTCGGCGCCGATGGAAGGCGGTCGGGTCGCCCTCGAGGACCGGGCCGGGCCGTAGGACCACTCTCAGGTCAGTCGGACTGGAGGGGAGAGGGAACCGACTGATGAGGAAGAAGACCAGTCACAGGTCACGACCTAGCTGAGGTTAAGTCAGACCTAGTCACTTCTGGTCCGAGATTCTTGCAGTTACGACAAATTTGGGTGACGTCAAATGACTGCTTTGTTGAACTGAGAGCAGCTAGAGCTACTCAATTCAGGTCAGGTCTCGTCAAGTGCATGTTGATTCATTCGGGTCAGTCTATGCCAATAGTGTTGGTCCCCCAATGGATTTCGTGATTTTTAGCGACTATGGAAGTGATGATATCGAGGCAGTGCAGGAGGTAGAAGGAAAATATATCTTACTGCGTATTTTCGTCATGCGAAACATATATATATTGACACCAGCATTGGTCAAGGTCATGCACATGCGCAAAATCCAGGTCGTTCCCGATTTACGCGGCATTTACCGACTAGCAGCTCCTACCCAAAGTCTAGGAAGCTAATCGAATCAGTAGATTGATTGAACAGCTTTGCAGGCTGCTATAAGGAGAAGCAGAGCAATCAATTTATCAAAGCTGATTTGCGCCCGGATTCACCCATCTCGTGACATTTACCAGTCGTCAGCGTAGCTGAAAAAGTGCCCCGTCCCAACTCGGCAGCCGGATATGGTAAGAAGTAAGAACCTCACGTGCGGGGAAAAGAGGTGAGGACAGCGGACCAGACCGTCTCGTCGGTCAGTCGTGGTTGCCGCAATTCACCCGTGACAGGCAGCCCCAGGTGTGTAAGTGCCTCATCACCCGATTTGCGTTCCGAACTATACCAACGGAGCCGGCCAGTGCAGTGCCGCGGCCCGCTAGTGCAGCTTCTGCCACCCATAGCAGCTGTGAGGCCGGGTATGCGGCTGGGGTACGTCCCAAATTGCACCGAAACCCAGCGACAAGCAGAGGGGACCAGCGAGGGAATAACTCTGGTGTAGCCCTTAACAGTTGCGAAAAAAGGCAGTGTAAAGCTGCTAGGCCCCGGGAATGGGATGACATCATCGATTAATACACATTGTTCACACAATCGGAATAAAATCACAAAAGAAAAACTCAGGAACAATTTAGCACAGAGTTGAACAATCACAGTACATCACAACAGATCATCTACAAGTTTCTGAATGAGCACAGTGTAATAAATGTTATTATGAATAGTAGTATTGTTGGTGCATTGCAGAATGGCGTTATCAAGAGGCAATTCAGTTCTTTTGTAATTCACTTATGGTAAATGAATGACAGGTAAATGAAAGTCCACCCAAGCCCTTTACACTGCGTATTCACTGGCCAGTCAATGTTCTTGGGCTGGCACTTGGATACTGTTGTTGTGCATGTTGAGCAATAACGAGATAATCTCGAACAGTGTAAACCGGATCGTCGGCTTTTTAGCGGATGTTGGATTATTACCTATGGTTGCCTACTAAGATAGCTAAATCCAAAAATATGTTGCCACGGTTTTGTGCAGCGTCAAATGTTTCTAACTATTCAGGCATTCTAACTATTCGGGCACCCCGAATGAATAGTTGTTACGATAATGCTGCCTCTGTTTCCGAATAGCCAATAAAGTTTACATGCATGCGAAATGTGCACGTTGCACAATGAACATGCGTTGACATATGTATAATATCAGTGAGCCTTTTGAAATGCATGTTCCTTGAAAATCTGCCTCACTGATGTTCAGACAACTGCAAAATCGCGACTTACGAAGGATTGCCCCCAAGTAATGACAAATAGCCTCATTAAGTATCGGATGACTATCTGTAGCGTCTGCGCCAGATAAAAATCACTTCCAGGGCTGGCCGAGAAATCCATGGGAGAGCGCCATTCTTCACCGGACAGATAACTTAGAGCAGCCGTGGATGCATTACTCAAAGTCTATTCTTATATGACTCTGGGGAGAGCAGCGTTTTGAAACATGAAAAGAACGAAACAAAAATGAACAGCATGGTATGATGTTACAAGTTTGGTATACTTGTTCAGCAAAGTGATTTATGCAAAAACGTGTGTAATAATTCTGTTTTAGGACAACGTGAATTAGTCAGGTGCAAAATCGATAAAACAACACAACTGTGAACGTAAAAGCACTATAATACACTATACAGTCAGATATTGTGATTGATTTGATCATCATAGCTGTAGCCCATATGCATGTAAGTACATACAATATGCCTGGTTATCAGTGAATGATGAAGCACGAGTTTTCTTCACTCACTACGGACATGACCACTGGCTATGCTATGCAGGTAGTCTATATACACACGGCATGCCACGAAAACCAAACACTGTCATCCAGCAAGATATATTAGTACGAACACAAATATCATATCAGGCTGCAAAATGCAAACACAAACATGTAGCATACGTAGTACATGTACAAATACTCATTTTATATGGCATTGCACTCGCATGTTTGATTGGAATATTTCCTAGAATGCCCAAAAAATATACTAATCGGAAAAAATGAAGCTTTCTGATGGCGAATGCGCAAATAACAATATTTCGGATTATCCAATAACCTAAATAGGTAGGTATCAACACAATTTATACACACATGCCTCAAACAGAATTACCTAGAATGCAAAATAAGTTAGGTATGCATATAAATATTTTATAATAATACAGATAATGCAGTGTAGATAATGCAATCGTGAATAAAACTCAATGCAATCACCATTTACTTTAACGGCAGCAGTGCACAAATATGCTAGCATACCTGCGTAACTAGACGGTGTGATAGTATGTTACCTGAACGTATGAATCACATAGCATGAAGTTAATGCCATAAAAATAGAGTGTGTTAACCAATGTCTCGTGAATAGAGCTTCGGGATTCTGTGGAGCAGTGTGTCGCGACAGTGGCCTTATAGAAATCCCCAAAACTGGCGAATATGATGCCCTGTAGTATGTCATATCAGTGTTCCCGTTTACTTCCTCCATGAGCTGTCATGTAAGAATGTGCAAGAATAGTTGTCTTAGTTTCCAAATGAAACCATGCTGCTTCATTCCCTCCAGCATAGTGGCACACCTTTCAAACAACCCATTTCAGGCCACCTTTCAGCTCTTCTGCTTCCCGCTTTCCCACCGAATCCCACGTAAAAGCTGGCAGCCACCGGACCCACGCCGGAAGTGTAGTTTTTTGCCGTCCGGTGGCCGGGCCGGTCGGACCTCCCACCAGGCCGGGGTAAATCGGACGGCTGATGACTGGCGGCAGCCGTCAGCGCCGCCGTCAGCGCAGCCGCGCGCTGCCAGGTCGGTCAGCCGTGCAGAGCGGCCCTCTGCCAGGTCACGCAGCCGGCGGACGGCGCCGGGCGCGGCGGTGCCCACGCAGCAATAGAGCTGCCGCGGCGCCACTCAGTGCGGCCCCTGACCCCACTATGGCCACTTTCTACCGCCGCTCAGTGAGCACAGAGCGCCCGCCGCTGTGAGCACAGAGAGCCCGCCGCGCGCCGCGCAGAGTGTGACGCCGGAGGCTCGCCCGGTGCGGCTGGTCGAGAGGAGAGCTCCTTGCGGTGGCCGGCCGGTGACAGCCACGCGTGTGTGGCCGGCCCGTGGCCGAGACAACTGCTCAGGCGCCCTGCTGAGCTGCGTGAAGGTCACTCGAGTGAGCGTCGCGCCAGCCCCGCCGCCGGCCGCGCTGAGTCTGATGGATGGACATGAATGGGCCGCGCTCTGAAGGCCGGCATGACACCGGACAGAGACGTGCGCCGAGAGCTTCTCACAGCTCTGGGCACAGTCTCTGTTACCTGAGTGCGGATTGTCATCTGACAGCAGCCTGCGACCAGGTGGTCAGTGACCCGCGGTGGTCAGAGACCGATGGTCAGTGACCTGTCTGTGGAAGTTGGAACCCACGCTAATGATCATGGTGGGTTGATCATGGTGGCGCGAATGATCAAAGAAGTCCTCCTTTGCTCATTCAACATCACTCACGGGTCACAGCCCTGCAAACCAAAGACCATGACCCGCGACCCGCTGGCCACATCGGGAACTGATCGTGACCGCGACCCTGAACTGCCCACTGCCGCAGTGAGTGCCCAGCTCCTATGAACCACAGCAGATGATCGCCACATGGCCGCCGCTGGCTAGCGTGCCAGTGGTGAGATCTCTATGCAGATTGGCTGCAAGCAGGGCACCCACTCCACCCTCACCGTCTGCAGGTGTTCCGTGACCGCGTCTGGGTCTTGCGGCACTCTAACATATGTAAATCGGAGGCATTCCGCTCCCCTGCTCAGAGATAGGTATGTAGTTGTTGCGTGTGGTGGTGGAGTTTCACGGATTTAGCTGGTTGTGATGATCAAAGATACTTCACCTGACGACACCAGGCGGCAGTATGGTGTCGGTGCCTTCTGACTGAATGCCTATAATCTAGCTAAGTTCCGTGGCAGTTGGCTGTATTCATCCAGGTTCGGTTCGTTGAACTGTGATTCCTTCGGACTTACTGTTGATTGTATCCATGCGTTTGCCAATTTATGAGACACGACATCCTTCTTGGATCGTCTTACCTGAAACAGAAGGGAA